TGGATCTGATCTGTCTTAACATCATGGACGAATATTTTTAATTTTATTCCTCTTTTTTAATTTTCACCCCCTGGTAAATTTCTATCCTTTATTACCAATGTTGTTAACATGACTCTTGTTCAGATTTATTCGAATTCTACTCAAACTGGTTGATCATACTGTGTCACTTAATTCCCTTATTTAGTTTAATTATAGTTTTTACCTGATTAGCGCCTTTTATATCACATAATTTGTAGTCTGAAAAGAAATTTATAATTCTAACGATACATTAGTGGCACAGGGGTAGAATGCTCACCAACCACGCAGGTGGTCAGGGGCCCCATTCCCGGCCGATGCACTTCTTTACTCCGCTAAACCGGTAATAAGATTGGTAAAGAGGAGAGGTTGAGCGTGAGGCTAGAAACCCCATCCTGTAAAAGCAAACACCACCGCTACCGAAACCTCAAAGCTGTAGTTTGAAGCCCTATGTTCCACTGGGAACGTAAAGGAAAAAAAAACGACATATCTTTGGAAAAATTCGTTTTGTTGTTACTGGAATTTACCACAACTTGAGAATAATATCGGTTAAAAGAGTAACTCTTCTCTGAACGTCTCTTTTTTTATATGATTTCCTAAATGGTATATATTTTTGGTGAAATTTATATTGAAATTCATCAAAATCCCCTTTCGAACCAGAAATATATTGTAAAATACACAACTTCGAGGGAAGAAACTCAGATATATATGTAGAAATGAAATGTTATCATTACAGCAGGTATTCAATCACTACACACAATGATGTATTATAACTGTGTGAATATGACGATTTGTATTTTGATCGACGACAGTGTCGTTAATACTTAGGGATTTCCATCAGTCAAGCATGAAGTGAAGTCATCAGGCTAAGAGTTTTGCTATTACAGTGTCATTTTCGATTATCTCCACTGGAACAGAGACAATCAGTAGGGGGCTGTGAACCTTAGTCTTGTGCTTGTATACGACTTATTAGCAAGGTGTGCTTACAACTTCGATGGAATTGTGGTATCTTGAGATTTAAATCAACTTCACTTAGTGGAATAATTAAAAGAAAGGTACTTCTAAATCGATTTTGCTACATTTCTGACTGCAGGACTGTTAAATGTGGATTCAAACCGCAGCGCGTGAAGAGAGTATCATTTTCCCGCTAACAACTTTATGTCGTCTCCAACTATCTGCGAAAGATTCTTTCAGTATAATAATAATAATAGTGATAATAATAATAGCTCCATTACGAACACTACTTTTGATACAATGTGGAATTACCAGTGCCTAATGCAGTAGTTGTTATTAGTATGGTTCTCTTGGGTTTCGAGTGGAATATTGGGCTTCAGCAACACATCTCCACTGCGTTCTATTTTCTGCCATCCTCTTCAGCTGGGTCTACATTTGCTCAAACTCTCACATCTATTGCCCACACGACCTCCTCCATATCATACTAGGACGACCCACTTATGGCTTCTTATTTGGGTTCCACTCGAGAGGGCATGGCACATGATACCATTCGATGGCCTCCTCAATGTATGCCCGAGATCCATCTTCATTTTCTCGTGCATATTTGTTGAGTAACCGATTCTTGATTGGCTTGTTTTCAGAGTTTTTTATTACTAGCCGAAAACAATGATGCATTTAATTTTCGCCTAACACTAACACTACTAGCACAGGCGAAAATAACAACACAGAGCCTTTAAGTGTTGGTTTGTAGGGATTTGATTGGTTTCAGAATTTCGCCATGAGCTGACATTAGTTAGAGAACCATTGGAAAACCAGGTGAAAGTAATGGACAGCTGTTTCCTCAGCCTAGTTTGGGACTCTTCACCAGTACGCACCCACTCCCAAGATCCGAACCCAGGACCTACTGGTTACAAGGCCAGTGAGCTCGTAGACCATTAAGCCACTGGGACCCGATCCAATGGCCCATGAATTCTAACTTCTGCCAATTTACGATATGGCGCAACTGCTAGCCAATGTCTTTGGCGAGTATTTGTCCTCACACCCGACCGGCTGCACCGGCTGGTTACGACTTCTCACTAGAACCCCAGGTAACTGCCTACCTGAATAGGGCATGTTGCTAGTGAGCATCTCATTGTTACTGCCTTTACATTGACCATATTGTTCAATAAGAATGTAAAACATTAACAACGATAGATCAATGAAAGAAAGAATAAAAAGGTCGTTTACTTAATGTTAGCAGTAAATTAGTAATTTATTGTCTCACACTTTTCTCATATAAAATGTATGCCACTTGAGGTAGTACAGAGGATTTATACTTAGTTGTCCCAGTATAAAGTCTTCTACGGTTGCTTCTAGTCCTGTCGGATGAGATGCAAGGTGAAAGCTGTGTATAGAGAGGATGCTCAGGGTTCGACAAGATAATATTCACTTATTTCTTGCATGAGTTCATATGTCTATCTACGACAGTACTAGCGGTTTGGCTAAGCGATACCCAACTCGCCTCACTGATGGCCTTTAGCGCATTTGACAGTGTTAGAGAGTCTTTCTTTAATACTGTGGGAAACATTAAAGATTGGGAGCAATAAAGAAGAAAAGGCAGTATACGACAATTAAAAAACTGTGAGTGTGCAGCGCCTGAGTGATACCAGATTGTCTTACTTTATTTACATGTAGAGTTAGACGAAGTAACTTTCAGTAAATTAACAGGACCGGAAGAAAGACCAGGAAAGGTCAACGGGAGGACATAATCTAAGTTATTTAAAATTTCACTTAGTTTCAACTTCCCTGCCATCTATGATACAAGAATCATGGAAAAGAGTCAGTCCATGTGAATCGCGCTTGTGTGCGAAAATGAAATTAACAGTCTGACATTTGGAGGGATTCAGCTTAAGACCATGTGACAAGGACCACTTGCTAATATCTAATAAAAAGTCATTTACGAAAAATGGGACAATAAGGTTGTCTTACTGTTTCACAATCTTTCATCACTATGTACTTACAGGAAAACAACATAATTTATAGTGACAATTAGTGATTATTATGTAACCGGATGCTAATATACAAACACAACAAGGTGTCATAAGCGAACAGTTTTCTTTTTTTCAGATAAGCATATATAAAAATGTCTGTTATTTGATTGGTCAACTAATATTATGTGGGTGTTTAAGGTTACGTAGTTGACCAGTCAAGGTAAACACATCAGGTTTATGGTTTCTTTACTGACCTTCACTTGTAATACGTAATTAAGATCCAATTGTTCTATTACACCTTTGTATAAACATACTAAGAACTTATAAATAAAACCGTTTACTGTGAAGAGATACATTCATGTACATAAGACATTCCTATACAAAGTCAATCCTAGGTTAGATAATCACGTTTTATACAATGAAAGCACGTAAATAGCTAGAGAATTCCTTAGAGACCCGGTTGCTCAGTTGAATCGACGACACACATTCCTACAGATCGAATTTACCAGATGATAAAAAGTATACTGCATGACAAACAGATCCAGATTCAAATTGATAAAAACGATCCATACTAATGCAAATTAACAAACAGTTACAACAAAGGTTATCAGGAGATAAAAATTGTATCATTCGTGGAGAGAATTCAAATGACTACACTTCGTATTAAAGCATAAGCTGAAGGTGTTGTCTAGAAGTATAACGAACGCTTCGTAGTAAATTAGCCAAACTCAGAGGACGCAGTCACATCGAAGTTTAGAAGTCTTTGAATGTTAAACTAATGCGTGAAAGTTGAGATCTTCAACGAATAATGATTTACTAATTAAGCACTCAAGATTATGTCACCATAACTGTTACCTATTGCACTTGTTAGATTTTACCACTAACCAACATCATTTAGAGAGATCACTAAAGACCAGATAGTAATGTGCGGCTGTTTCGTCCGTTTGGGGACTCTTCATCGGTACGTCTCCACGAACTCAAGAAGGATTGAAGCCAAGAGCCTCAGGTTAGGAGACCACTCAACTATATTAACTAGAATCTAGTCACCTGAGAATATTGGCTCTGTCAGTACGTGATATAACACTGTTCTCGACCAACACAGTCGATAAGTATCCGCTTAACCTAGACTTAGTCGATTCTAGTGGTCACAACTTCGCACTTCAGCTTCATGAGGTCTATACAGTATCCATCAATTAGCTGAAGAATGATATCTACATTATGTATGAGAATTGTTACTGCTTCTTGAGTAAATATAAAAACTGAAGTTACATTCATCAAAATTCCCATAAATCCCATAATCTTGAAACATAATGATTACCAATTCTTCAATTTGTTATGCTTCTGAAAATTTAATTACAAAAACATCACGAAAAAGAGGAGACTGAGATGAATGAATTCCAGTGGTTATTTCCCTTTAATCATCTAGAAGAAGTATTCAAATGAGGGACATTACTGTCTCAGAAATCATAGAATGCCTAAGGATTCTGTCAACATCCCTCAACTCAGAAAAACACTCAAATGACCACTTCAACTACAGAACGTAACATAAATTATAGATATAGTGAAGCGTAGAGCTACTACACTTTTAACTAATCCGCCAGACACAGTTATAAGTCTTTGTCGTTCGGATTCTATTCCAGAGACTGGATCGTCAACAAGTTCGCGTTGTAAGCTGAAAGCTCTGGATTCAACACCTGACGGGTATTTACTCTAAAGAGTCCCAAACTGGGGCGAAACAGTAGTTTGGTGCTATGCAGTGGCATTTAATATAACTTGAAACCAGTCAAATCCCTGCGAACTGACACTTGAAGAGCATATGCAACTTTACATGCCAACGTATACCTCGATAAAAAAGATGGTTTTAAGTGGATACAACACCAGGAACAACACACAACACTCTTTTATTTACAAGAAAAGACAACATAAAATCAAAACAACAAATCGTTTAAATATTCCTCCACAGATTTATATGTACCAACAACACAACAGAGTTACAAATAATGAGTGGTACAACAGACACTAAAAACCAATCACACAACGATCTTTCTATACATCACGGACCTGTACGACGTTCCATATCAGCAGTTTTCACTTGTAAAGGTCTTGCCATCTAACAAAAACAAATTTGAAGAATATCAGTGAATAGAAAAACCGGTTTAAAAGATGAACTACTGACTAACTTAGTAAGTAGTTTGTAAATCTAAAATAAAAAGTGCTTCTTGAAAGAATTGTATATACATATAATTCATTTATTTATAGAGACATACACTTGGTACATTATAGGCACCACACAAAATTTCATGGTTGATTAGATCAAGATCCTTAAGAGGCCAACCCCAGAAGCCTTTGAACTCGAATTCTGACTCACGAGTCATTGGAATATTATCAGGAGCTGCGTTCCTATGGTTGCTAATGTCAAAATACGGGTTCCTGCACCTTTCGATACGTCAGAATTCTGGAGCTCCTGTACATCACAGAATTGTAATCAGTGTTTTTTCTCTCTTAGACAGGTAGATCCTAGTGTCCACCAATCCGATTGCAAACTCAGTCCGTTCGTATTCAGCCTTCAACTTTTGTGAGGAATGACACGGTTATGTGCGAGGGCAGTGATCAGAACTTACCCCACATAGGTTATGAATGTGCGTCCACCCTTGATCACACTAATTCCCCCCACAAGGGTCTCAAGTGTACATACATAAGCATATATGCAAACAATCCTTATATTCATAGAATTTAAGCCTATCGACAGAATAGAAGGATTCGAACAAGCAAATTACAAATGCTCAAACCAAGTTCACTTTTAACAGCGACAAAATTTGGGCATCAGGTATATGATATTCATCATGATAAAAGTTTTTGTATTTCCCAGTGAATGAAAAGGAGCAAAACGATATTGTTGTTTTTACTGGAGTTTCGCTATTTAATGTTGCTGCTAATAGCTTTATCAGAGTAGTAGTATTCAACCAGAATTTACAAAATCTCAGCTTATACACAGCAAACTTAATCATGGTTCATCAGCGTGGGATAATTTCTAGGCTGTTGAGTTGACCAGTTGCTAACGGTTACAAAACCAAAGTGTTGATTGTTGGATCTGATAAGTGTGTAAAATGTTAAAAGCACCATGTGTTTACATTATGAAATCGCTAATCACATTCGTGTTGATTATGTCATTTCATAGGGAAGGGGATGTTGTAACCAGGTCAGATTCTGTTTTAGTCCATCATTCCTATTCAGAAAATTTGGATTCCACTTGATATGAAGTGCTTCCTACGATATTAAACGTTCTTTGTAATTTCTGGATCATTTCAGTATTGTCAAAATCAATTTTGTGGCCTTATCCTATAGCATGTAGACCATCTATGGCTAATGATTTTTGAAGCTTTTCCAGTTCATTAACTGGATTTCTCAATGGTCGAACAGACACTCTGCGGTGTTTATTTCTTCTGATCTTTTATTTCTCCCTAACGAGGTTTGCCCGATGTATATCGCATCGAATTCCAAGCATTTTATTTTAGAGACACAGTTTGATTGAGAATCCTTGGAGATTTCGTCTTTTACTTGGAGGACAAGGTTGCTTTGTAGCGTGCATGTCTGATGTTTTGAAGAAAACTCTGATGTTGAGCCTATTGAGTGGTCTTCTGATGTCGTTTAAAGTTTCTGACCTATACTGAATGACAACTGCTGAGCCCCATATCTTCGGAATACTTTTTTGACCACATTTAATGTAACTGTTGATTTTGTTAATGAAGTTCTTTGGGTAATCAGTTTTCTTGAGAATTTCAGTAATGTTTGATATTTCTTCTTCTTTCTCTTTCTCATGTATTAACATCAAAGGGTGCACTCGTCTAAGAAGACTTGAAGCAACTGATACCTTTGCGCTGATGGGGCATAATGATTCAAAGTCTACATGATTTTTGGAATGGGTTTTCTTCATGAAAATAGAGGTATTAATATATCTGTTACCCATCCTCTTAACTTGGCAAGCAGTCCAGAAATGGTGGTTCACCGAAGTCTGTATGATTCTACCTGCTTTCGAAGTAAACTCGAGGGTGGGGGATAGATAGATAGTTCAGTTTCTCCAAGAATGAATTGCTTAGATCTCGTTTAAGCACAAAAAAGTATCATCAGAGTATCTCAGCTGTATTTTACATATAAATTAGAACAAGCAAAAGATTAAACAAACGAATTAAATGATGAAGTTCAGTCTTATTTGTCTTTTCTTTGCAGATAATTCTGTTTAACCTTGTAGTCAAATAATATTTTTTGTTAGGTCAGGTGAACAGAGATTAGATAAGCCATAATCTTATTGTGATTAAATATTGTAAATAATAATAATAATAATAAAAAAGGATATGGATTAATAAATGAATAGTGTTCGAAGTAGACAAAACGTGTGAACCTAAACACCAAGTTATTTTCATTACTTTTTTCAAGTGTTGATTTCAAGGGATTTCACAAATTTCAAGCTAAGCTATGAACTGACTTCAGTCAAAGAACCACCGAAATGGTTAGCCGGTTACCCTCGTAAACCTCTAAGTTCAGGATTGAATTAATGGTGAGTAGTGTGTTCGATAATGTACTGCTAATCATTCCCAGAAAGCAGACTGAAACCGCTGTCCAGTATTCTCAATTCCTACCCATTGGTTCTCTAGCTGATATCAGCCTTTGATCTCACTTGTTCTTTTTATGTTAGTCACCCTCTGATTAGTAATCAAAGGGTACTATAATACTGAAGAGTTAGTTGATTAAATGTCTGAAGAGTATACTGGACGACATATATCTACTTGTGTGTGTTTTCTTAGTGTATCGGTTTCTGGTAACACATAAGCTCCTTAGAAAGATTCTTCTATGTGACCTTAGTTTCCATATCATGGTCAATGTTTAGTTGAACATGGATAGCACAGGTTGGATGATGATTTTGTTACCACTGGGACTCTCATTCATCTTTTCAGATGTCCAATCACTCCTCACAAGGAACTACTGTGGCACAGTGGTCTGTCTGGGCTCAGAGGCTTTGGTTGCTGGGTTTCCCTGTCAGTGGGAATACTACCTCGTGGGGAGCATCAGCATCCAGATAGCTTGTCCCAAATAAGAACGGAACACAATTTATGAATGCTACTATTTTTTTGATACCTTTGCGTTCCCTGTAGAAGATAAGGTTTCAAGCTTGAGTGATTCGAAGTTTCAGTATCAGTGGGTTTCTTTTTCTTCGCAGAGTGTGGTTGCTAGCCTCATGCCCAACCATCTCTGTTTGTCAGGATTATAACTGGTTAAGGGAGGTAAAGGAGTGCACTGGCAGGGATTCGAACCTCGGACCATGTGTATGGCCGACCAACAGTCTACTGCTGAACCACCGACGAATCCCACTATCAGTAAAAACCAAAGGAATAATAGGAGATGCGTCTAATTTAATTCATAGAAAATTCCTATAAGGACATAAAGAAAATCAAAACAAGTCATCCAGCAAAGTCTCTTCTCAACGAATTTATTTACAAGCTTTACAATCCTATATATATATTTATGGTTTGTTCACAATAATGATGTGGATTTTGACAAAAATAATTATTCGTGCACTTCATAAAATAGTTCATGAAATGTATAACTACCAATTGGCGTATAGAAAAATTAATTACGCAACGTCGTGACAGTTATGATAAGATGGTAGAAAAAAATTATATTGAATTGAATTTTTAAAAATGATACATATAAACCTTGGATTCAAAACTCACTTGGCTGCAAACATCTTTAAAAGAAGGATCTCAGTGCCCCTAAAATGGAAATTGGTTGTAGCATCACTCAGAATTGTGTTTTCTAGTCGACCATTGCTGTTCAATAACCCGAAGGAATAGAACCTACAGCTGACCAATTTCACGTGTATTTACCAGTTCCCGTGCTCTTGTGGGGCTGATTATAAAGGTTATTCGAGAACAGCAGGCCGCTAACGTTCGTACTCAAGATGGCACTGGGGCTATAAGAATTGCAGTAATTAAACATGTGGTCGATACTGGTTAACTTATCTCTACAATCCCTTCCTTTGAAGTTATCTACAAGGCCCAAATCTTTACGTATTCGACTGATATGTATTACTAAAACTCTGGCTGTAGAAACGGAAAATTCAGGCCTTGATATACAGAAAACGTTTGTTCAACCTGAGGTTGCCTCAGATAGTCATGGATAAGTAAACTGGCGTTGATGTAATGACACGAAGAGGACGAGAGAATTTCAAAGCATCATTATACACTGAATTTATTTCAGCTTGAATAAAAGCTTTACCATCGACGCCAAGATATCTAGTCGGTGATAGGCTATTTTCTGTGCGTCGAAGCAACAGACACACTCTGAGGAGACTGTTAAGTACCATGAGAAGCCATGTAGTCCCTCAAATGGAATCCAACAAGTTGAGCGTCCGACAGTAACAGGGAGCTTATGAGCAACTGTGAAGTTAGCTAAAGATGACTGTAGATACCAGGATTAAATAGAGCACAAAGAGTTTTGTAACAGCCCTGTCTTCCACTTGAAAACTAAGGGAATGATAGTAATAATAATAGTAGGCTTTTCTTTCTCATTCACTTAATCCCTAATCCCCTCTAGTTTTGATAATTATAACCAACTCTTTATTGTCTTTCTTTTATTTGCCGACTGCATCAATTAATTATCAAACATGTAATTATTAAAAGAAACAGGTAGAGAGAGAAAAAGCGAACAAAATTCCACGATTAGAGACAGAGAGAGAGAGATTAAACAGAATAGATTTATATCATCAGTTATTTATTTGTAATTATTAGGCCTTATTCATTTCTATGTTATAACTAACTGTTATCTACCTGTGTTTAGATTGTTTAAACGTGCAATTATCAGATTTTTGCCTTGTGTACACTACTAATCTATCTATCTATCTATCTACTTATTAGCTAACAAAGTACGTTACACTAAAAGCATGTACGCACACATATGTGCGAAGGATATCATTAAATATGTAACAGTTTATCGCCCTAACCAACCTGGGTTTTTTTTATTTGTGCGCAAGTTAACACAGATACCTGTGAGCATTTACATGGATAAACTTAAAAATATATACCATGTTGGATTTATTGCCCCTCTCTCTCGCTC